ATTTTCAGTAAAGCATCAGGTCTTTCCTTATCACTGAGTCTCTTATACATATTCAATTGGTCCGCCCCTGACAACTGATGGACCCAATGAGGATCCAAAGGGAGTGGGGGTTATACCCGAGGATCTGCTGCATGATCCAGTTGGATGCCAAGCGTGGGGCATGGCCTGTGGAGATGCCTAGGGATTGTGCTTACCCTGTTATCTGGGAACAGTTTGAGCCTGTTGGACCCAAGGAAGTGGAAAGGGTCCTCCGGGCTGTAAATGCCACCACTTGTCAACTAGACCCATGCCCCTCCCGGCTGGTTAGGGCAGCTTGGGGGGTGACATGTGGGTGGTCCAGGCAATGGTGAATTTATCCTTGAGGGAGGGGGTGTTTCCAGCGGCCTTAAAGAGGCGCTGGTGCATCCCCTCCTCAAGAAACCATCACTCGACCCCACCGTACTGGACAATTTTCATCCAGCTCCCTTTCTAGGGAAGTGGTGGCATTGCAGCTCCAGAGGATCCTGGAGGAAACGGATTATCTGGACCCTTTTCAGTCGGGTGTCAGTCTCAGATACAGGATGCAAACGGCATCGGTCGCACTCTTGGATGATCTCTGGCTGGAGCAGGATGGAGGTAGTGCAATCATCCTTGCTCTTCTTGACTTCTCGGCGGCTTTCGATACCATCAACCATGGTATCCTTTTGGGTCAGCTCAGGGAGTTGGGGGTGGTTCAGCTCCTTTCTCCAAGGCCGAACCCAATCAGTGTTGATAGGGAGTGAGAGGTCCAGCCCACGGCTCCTTTGTGGGGTGCCACAAGGTTCGGTGCTCTCGCCGCTCCCATTTAACATCTACATGAAGCCGCTGGCTGAGATCATCCGCCACCATGGGATGAGGTATCATCAATACACTGATGATACGCAATTATACATCTCCATCCCAGGTGACCTAAGTGATGCCATGACTGCCCTTTCTCGGTGCCTGGAGGCTGTGGGGGTCTGGATGGGGGACAACAGGCTTCAGCTGAACCCTGGTAAGACGGAGTGGCTGTGGGTTGGGGGCTCCTCTGTATCTGGGAGTTTATCATCTTTGGTTCTCGATGGGGTGGCACTGCCCAGACAGACCCGGCGCAGAATCTAGGGGTCCTCCTGGTCTCATGACCCCTGCTCAAAGAGCAGGTGGCAGTCGTGGCCAGGAGGGCCTTTGCTCAACTATGGGTTGTGCACCAGTTACACCCTTTTCTGGATCGGGAGTCCCTCCAGTCAGTCACTCATGTCCTAGTCATCTCCCGCATAGACTATTGCAATGCACTCTACATGGGGCTACCCTTGAAGAGTATCTGGAGCCTACAGCTGGTGCAAAATGTAGCCACATGGGCAATTTTAGGTGCCCCAAGGATGGCACGTATTACACCTTTGCTGTGTGAGCTGCATTGGGTGCCAGTTTGCTTCCGGGTCCAATTCAAGGTGTTGGTTATCACCTTTAAAGCCCTACATGGCATGGGGCCAGGTTACCTGAGAGACCATCCTGTCCCCATCACATCGACCCATCCCACCCAGTCAGGCAGAGAGGGCATGTTGTGGATCCCGTCAGCGAGAGAATGTCGACTGGCAGGGCCCAGGAGGAGAGCCTTCTCTGCCGCTGCCCCTGCCCTGTGGAATACTCTTCCCCCAGTGGTGAGATGGGCCCCCACTCTCCTGGCCTTCCAGGAAGGGCTGAAGACCTGGCTCTGCCAACTCACATGGGGCAAGAGGGGATATAACCAACCCTGGGGGTGCCTAGCGCCTTGAAGACGCTCCCCGAATCTAAAATATTTATTGTTATATAGGAAGTCTTCTTGTAATGTATTTTAATTCATATTTATTCTATTTAACTAATATTTATTCTTTTTATTGTGAACCACCCAGAGCTGCTCCGCAGTGAGATGGACGGTGACAAATTTGAAATATAAATAAATAAAAATAAACAAATATTTTTGGTCCTTCTGGAGGCATTCCCTCCCCACTTTGCCACAAGCCATTATCGCATGATGAATGGGGCTGAGAAGCAGCACATCTTACCATGAAGTGACTTTCAAGGGAGAGTGACTAAGTAAAGGCTCTCCCAAAGTCAGAGGTTAGGGGTTCAGAAATCCTCTGCAGTTGGCCTGAAATGCAATGGTCCAGCGAGTCGCCAGGCTGGTGCTGTGCAACGTCCATCTTTGCCTGATTCCTCCTCAGCAGGTTGTCACCTTTTGCACTGCAAAGGCAATGTCCCATAAATCCATGGCATGACTCTTTGGGGTGGCCTAAGTGACCAGCACTGGGTTCTCCAATATTCCTATCCCCCATCCCCTGAAGATACATCGCGCTTTACAACTGCATGGCTTAGCGACAGCAGTGCCAGTCCCAACTGCCGTCGTGACCCAAGGACTACCTGTATACAAAAAAGTATGAATAACACCAAGGCTTATGAAGTGACCGAATCAAAGCAAAAAGGATGTGCCCGTTGATAGAATGTCAGAGCCAGCTTGATGCTGCCAGGGTGGGAATGTCAAGGCTGAACAAGGGCATTCTGGGAATAGGCACCCCACAATGGACTGGATCAGGTCCCTTCTTATCAGAAGAGCATTGGATCTTTTACTGCAGAAGAGGATTGGGCAGAGTGGCCAGGAGGAGTGGCCCAAAGTACATCCACCCGCAGTCTGACCTCCCTATGAAGTAAAAGCAAAATGGAGGCCACGGCCACAGTCTCTCCTGGCACGGGATTTGCGCACCCAGGCTCATCACCCCCTAGCAGGGCTCTAGGTGGTGCCTGACCTCCTGCGTTTGGAACTATCGATTGCCCTCCAACAGCATGACATCGGTGGTTCTTTCTTCCGCTTTCCTCGTAGCTTGCAGACATTTTGCCTTGCGCCCCTCGGCCTGGGAGCTAAGGGACCGTTGGCCGTTCACAGAACCCACATTTTTGCCCCTGGAAACTTTGGCTGCCAATGGAAGAGAAATTGAGGGGCAGAAATGATGACGGAGGGGCAAGTACCTTCCGGGGAAATGCATCCTAACATTATTTTAGTTTTTATTGATTTGGAGAGTTTAAAGAACAAAACAGAGGCTAATAAAAGAAGAGAGACCTCTACTCAAGAGCTGCTCAGTGGATAAACTTGGAGCCACCTGTAGACTTGCCCCAGGTGGGCAAATGCCCTCCCCAATTTGCTTGCCCTCCTATGCAACCAGACCTTGACCAGCATGCTTTGCTTCTGTAGCCCATCTCAGCTGGGCTTCCTTATGCTCATGCTAGCGATGTAAGCATATTTGGGATACAGATTTATTTGTTTTATGTTTATCTATAAGATTTATAAACCGCCTCGCTCCAGCAGAGGCCAGAGCCATAAAGAAACAGAGAAGGCCGGCTGAACGGCGGGGGAAGCAGAGACCGCAGGGAACTCCAGAAGATCCATCCACTGGGCACGAACTGTCACGGCCAGCACTAACCACTGAGAACCCGGAAACGCAGTATTTGGCTTCAGGGAAATCTAGATGAAGTTGGGGAGAGGGAGGGCTTATTCAGGAGGCGGTGCACTGGGTTTGCTAATCCATCGCCCGTTCCAAAAGGGAGACTTTACCGATGGGATATTTCACTCTTTTGCCATTGGCTTCTGCTTGCGAGTAATTCCACATCTAAACAAGCGAGAGGAGGAGCACGACAGGCCAAGCCGAGAGGGAGCAGGCCCGGGCTGTGTGGAGAGATGGTTAACCGGCCAAAGATCCAGTTGTGCTCTCGTCCTCCCATCTCCGATGCTCTGGGAGACGGCACATAATGTTTCCTTTGCGCTGGGCCCCAGGACAATTGTGTCGGGTAGCTGTCAATGCACAGATTCGCCTGCCAACTCTGGGCGACGGAGACAAACAAAGTGTTCCAGGGACACAATGAGATTGCTATCAGTTGCACCAAGTATCCCACAGCTCATCAGCGCAAAGCCACTACAATGCGTGCGCCAGAACAAAGGGCCACATTGCATCCAGAAGACAAGATGGGTGGCTCTTTCCTCCATACATACTTTATCCTCACAGCGGTCCTGTGAGGTGGGACCCGGGATCAGGCGCCATGCCTGTAGGTCAAGGAGACAGTCTGGTGGGACATCTGCAGGGAGCTGTGTGTCAAAAAAGCCAGGATGGTATCCATGACGACACAATCAAAGCTCCGGGTTGCAGATAATTTTATAATACATTTATATTTAGTCTGGGATGTGTGTAGAACAATTGCCTCGGACCTCTGAATGAAAGAGGGGCTCAGGGCCCAGTAAGCGACCTTCTCCACCCCACTGCTTTGTGGGGTGCTGAGCTTGCTATTTCTCCCCAGTGATGCTAAGTGATGCCGGTCACTCAGGGAACAAGATGGGGGCTTGATGACTTCCCAAAGCCAGCGCAGAGTAAGCCCAGGGTCTCCCCTGAGACTCAGAATGGGGGTTCAGTGTCCCCTCCCCGCAAAACATCACCGGCAATAGAAGCACTCCATGCAGGGAAGGGTGTACAGCCTTTCACAAAAAGGTTTGGTTTTCTGTTTATGCTTCCCTCTTGGGATCAGTGCAACATTACAGAAAGAAAGGAAAAAACGCTGACAGGAACATGATACCTTTAGAGAAAGAGTCATACACCCAAAATTAGGCTCCGCTCAAGATGCGCGTAGACGTCGCAAGCCTTCCAGCGCCAAGGACGCGGGTCCGGCGGTGAGTCGGCCGCACCAGCCCTTCCGCTCTCAAGCCTCCCTCTCCCGCTCTCAATTCACAGAAGGCTCCGGAGTGGGTTCTGCCCTACACGCTTGGGGACAGGATGTTCTGTGATCGGACCAGATGCTCGGTCAGGCTGGTGCGTCTGCCTGGGAACCGGAGGCACAGCTGGAATGCTGCCCTCCTTGCCACCTTGAGTGTAAACCCAGGCATCTGCTTTTACCAAAGCCACTTCCTGGTTCTTCTCAGAAGTATTCCTCTCCCCCCCCCCCCCAGCACACACACACATTATTGTCTGGGCTGGGCTGGGCTGGGCTGGGCTTGACTGAGGAAAGCCACCTTCCAAGCTGGTGAGGTCTGGGGTATAAGAAGCCACCTCTGACTGAGGTGCAGAAAGAATTGGGTCTCGGCCTCACCATGGAACCTTCCGGCCTCCTCCTCCTCCTCGTCTCCTTCCTCCCCATGGGGAGTGCTCTCTTCCCCATCCCCCTGCCATTTGCACCTGCCAAGATCCGAGTAGGTGAGTAAGTGTGTGTCCCCTCCTGGCTTTGCACGAACCTTGCTCCTGTCTCTAGACTGGCCACTGCCGCGAGCAACTGCCTGGGGTGGGGGATACGGAGAAGGAAGAGGCAGCCCCCTTGAGGGAGTACGCCAGGAGTTGGGCCCAAAGTTTGTGGAATGGTCATTTGTTCTTTTGCCCTGCTATTGCACTATTCTGATGTACTGCTTTAATCCTTTTGCGGAAGAGGAGCGACTTTTGCAAGCCACTCCAAATCTCCGTGATCAGAGCAGCATATAAACCCTAGTAAGTAAAGTTTAAAAAACGAATAATTCTTGGAGTACTAAAATGCAAGCAACAAGCATTGATCTGTTGCCTTCCCAGCAGACGTCCCACGCGCTCCCTTTTGCCCCAAAGCCTCCTTCTCCAAAATCAGCCAAAGAAAGGCAGAGGAACGTGCGCCAATTGCTTTCTCTCCTCTGCTTCCTCTGGCACATCGTTCGGCCTTTGGAGAGGTCAGGGTTCAGCTGCTCCTTCCCTGGCCGTTTTCCTGCTTCTGACTCATTTAAAGGCAGGCTTATCCCGGTTGCTAATGGTTTTGGCAACATGCTGCTGAATATGTGGGTTTCTGCATTATAGTAGTTCCCATTCATTTCTTCTCTCTGACGTTGTGTGTGGGCAAGATTTCCCTTTTCTTTTATGTTTCGTGATTCTTCACCACGCTGGCATCCTTTCCGAGTTGCTGATATTCTCTTTTCCCGTTTCCGATACACTCGGGTTGCCACATCTGGGCTGCAGAAACCCAGATGACCTTTACAGAGACACAAAGAGAGAGAGAAAAAACCAGCTCTTGGCTGCCATTTCGTGGTTTCTGCAACCCAGACACGGTAACCCTAGATATACCATGCAGAGAAACTGCTATTAGGCTTGCGAGTTTTGAATACGTTGGAAAGCCTTCCCAGTTGGATGTCTTCCAAATACGCTGGATTTCATGTCTGTTAAGCCAGCAGGCTGGAAATGATAGAGTTAGCATCAAACACATCCGAAGGGCACTGGGTTATGAAATGCCAGTTTGCCCCATCCTGCTTACGCGGCTTCAAATATTTACAACACTGTTCTCTCTAGGTTTCCTCTAGAAGTAAGTTGCTGAGTGATTCTATGAATATCTGAGACATTGGGCCCCAGTTTGACTCCATTTTGTGTGTGTCTGTGTGTGTTGGGGAGCCATCCTTTTTCTATAGGTCGGGATCATTGTTCCCAGTGACTAACAAATTTACCCTTCTAAGCCACCAGCAGCTTGAGGCTCCTCAGTTCCACCAGAATTAGTGTTTTCCAACTACGCCACTCTGGAGATTCCAGAATTCAACATATGATATTTGCAACCTTCCAGTCAAGCAGACACTACGCCATGGGGCTAATGCACCCATCAGACATCCATTGTTTTATATTCCAACCGCTGAATCACAGTGCTGAGATTCATCTCGCCTCAAGGGGCACGTCTCCTGTGGGTCTTGGAACATGCCAAGTCCACCTACAGCTTGCCGGGACTTCTCCTGAGGGCTCCCCGGCCAGCAGGACCTTCAGCTGAAGTTGGGCAGAGGCAGCCACCCAGCCAGGACTGGGAGCGAAGCAAGAGCTGGGGACTGAGGCAGAGGTGGCCCGCCTTTTGGGATGGGGCACGGAGACGTCTGGGTTTCTTCACCATTGTCCCTCCCTTTCCTTTGCTCCCAGATATCTGCAGACTTCCTCCTGCGACAGGCTCGTGCCTGGCCCTGTTTGAACGTTGGTATTACAACCCGAAGGTCAGGAGGTGCCTGACTTTCACCTACGGGGGCTGCGGAGGGAATCCGAATAACTTCAGGACACGCAGGAGCTGCGAACTTGCATGTTCCCCTTCACGTAAGACCCCCCTTTTCCAGCAGAGAGAGACCAGGAGCTCTCCCCGGTCCTTCGACAATGACGGCGAAGATTTGCGGTTACGCCCTGCCCCGTCTCCCTGGAAGCAGTGAAGGCGGGTGGAGAATGCTGCCATTTTCTCCCCCAGGGAGGGCCGGGTCCAAAGGGTCCGGGAGGACTACGCAGCTGACTAGGAAAGCCATAATCGGCGAGGGCGGGGCAGGGCAGGGCAGGGCAGGGCAGGGCAGGGGGTGGGTGGGGAATTCCTGCTTTGCTGCAGGAAGCAAAGCGTCCCATCTAAGCCCTGAAGAGCTGCTGACAGAGATCACGCTGATTAAAGGGGCCGATGCCCTCCGCCTTGATTTAAGGCCATTTCCCACCTTCTCACCCCCAGCCTGCCTCTGGGGTCAAGGCATGGCCAGCAGCTACAAAGAGCTATCTATCGGGGGGGGGCACTGTTTCCCCCACCTTCCTCTCCCTCCCCAGAGGGCACATGGTTTGAGGTGTCAGTCTGCCAGAGGGTGAAAAATTGGGGAGAACGTTTTGCTCTCAGGCTGATCAGGTAGGGGGGTCCTGGTGCTGCCATTCTGCCCATTTTTGTCCCTTTATCTTTCCTTCATTAATACTTTATGGAATAAGGGGCACATGTAGCGGAGGAGTGAGCAAATCTCTCTTGCTGCCCTCCCCCCCCCCGCATTCCCCACCTTTTTCCCCCACAGTTATTGATTTACCTTTGAGATTCTGTGGCTGCAATACTGCCACCTGCCTCCAGGGGTCTTGCCTTCAACTTCCTGAGTCCCCCTCTTGGCTGTGGATTGTGGGAGTTGGTATACCGGGGAGGGGGGCAGGGGCACCTTGGGCAGGGCTGTTTCTTTAGTCTCTTCATGGGGTGAGATCCCCAACCTGTGCAAAAGGTTCTGCAAAAGAGAGGAGGGAGGGAGGGCGGTCCTTGAGAAGGGGGTGCCACAAAGCCTGCTCACCCTGTGGGACTTCCAAGGAGGGTCAAAGGGGGGCTGGCAGCTGCCAGAACCGTGCCAATGGGTGCCCTGCAATTTATTCCTTGCAAATAAAAGCCACAGTGGTCCTCTTGGCAAAGCAGGCAGAGTGCGGGTTGCCAAAGTCTCTGACATCAGAGGGTCAGGAGGGGGAGGATGGTGATGAAGGGGGGGGGAGGGGGGAGGACTGCCACTTCTGCCAAGGGTTTGGCTAGTTCTTGTCGGGAACTCGGCCTCAAAGGCTTCGGGCCGGCTCCCCCTGTTTCAAGCGGCGCAGGAGGAGAACCGCCCAGCCGCGCGCTCCTTCTCTTCCAGCCCCGGGGAAGCCTGGCACCTGTCCGTCCCCGACGGCCCACCTCGACAAGACGTGCGGCCAGTTCTGCTCCACCGACGCCAGCTGCCCAGGGAGCCAGCGCTGCTGCGGGACCAGCTGCGGGCAGAAGTGCCAACTGCCTGTAGGAGGTAGAGCCCCCGCTCTGGCCAGCGACGCCCGCGCAGGAGGGGCTGGGAGAGCGGGTGGGGGGGCGAGACCCCGCCCCGCCCCCCGCCCGCTGTGGCCCAACCGTGCGTCCTCAGACCCAGCCCC